TGACAATATCTTTATTTATTTATCATAATAAAAAGGTATCTACTTCACCAACAATCCAATTAATAAAGTCTTATTCTGAGAGACAGAATTAAAAAACACAACAAAAAATCTAGACATGCAACAGCAGCATTGTTGCTGAAACGAAACCACACAAAATGGTTTCCCAAAATGTAGCACGCACACTGCCCAAGAACAAGTAAAATATGGTATTGTAAAGGAAATAATCTCCACAAAAAACAGCAACAAATTGTGGAGATTATTTCCTTTACAATACCATGGATTACCACAAGATATCTGCTACCACCACGGAATTTGAGTAAAATATCATATCACACTGCAATAAATTACACATTTGAATAAAAAATATCATCGGAATTACCGCAAAACATATCTCTATGTCTCAATCTCCTCTCTCTCGCTTGGATTCTTACCACTGCCTTGCCTATATATTTACGAATCTGTAATATTTGTCAAAAGTGACTTACTTAACGGTGGAACATATTTTCATGCAATACTGATATTTATAAGTACAACACACGTCGTAAAAATCACGTTCATCAAGTGTCAGTATCAACAGTTCACTATCAGAAATCCACATACAATCAATACATGTTCGTTATTTTACAACGCACTGCCAGATGATATTAAACAATTAAATTCGGTTCACATATTTAAGTAAAAAGTAAGATCTTTTCTGCTGCATAACTGTTTCTATACAATTAGAGACTATACTGATTATTAAAAAGAAAAATAATGTTTAATTTTTTAAAAAAATTGTGATGTATAATGAATTTGTTTACATTTGTATTGTATATTTTTTAAAGAATTAATATGTTTGTAACAAATAATGTATTTTAGCTTCCGGGTCAATGACCCCCATCTCGAACAGGTTTTTGTCCAGTTTCCCTGATCCATTGAGCAAATGCTGAGATGGCCCCTTGTTTTGCTTCTGGACGTAAATGTAGCTTCACTATGCGCACGTTTTGTTGAACTCTCCTTTTGCTTATAATTGTAAGAGTAGAGGTAAGGGCGAGTTGCTATTTTGTTAGCAATTCGTGTACCGATGCAAATAAGTTTTCTACTCAGAAACGAAAATGACTATTTTTCAAATATTGCTTATCTTACGATTTTAAAAATTTATTTATTTAATTTATTTCTTTATGTTAAACTTTTACTCGCCTTTCAACTATTTATAGTTAAAATGACGGGAAGGGATTCTAGAACTCAAGAAAACGTGCGCAGATAATCCCCCCCCCCCAACGTCACGTACTGTTCTTCTATTTTTTAAATTTTTTTGTATACTGAATAAATCTAAATCTAATGCCGCATAGTTGTCATTCAATTCTTGCACACATTGGAAATTAGTAATATAGGTTTTTTTTATCGAATTCTTGGTATCTAGCGAAATCATGGACACCTTTCATATAGCAGGAGGCTGCAGAATGTTCTTTCAAATATCTGCGCGCTTTGGAATTTAGTAATATAAATTCTATGACATGTCATGCTACGTTATCACTATGGTTTTGAATTAATTGAAATGCTTTTGAAAACTTAATTTTTAGATATTCTTTATAACTATACAATTACAGGCCGGTTATATGAACTATACCGTTTTAAAAAACAACTAACCTGGTCTATCGGGCATCCCAACAGTATCGCAGTATTCATTGACTTGCTTCACGAACATGCTGTATAGGAGATTCATCTGAAACAAAACAAAATATTTAGTGAACCTTTTTCAACTGTAGTTTGTGTCTGTCGAGACTGATCCGAAAATAATGATTTTTTAAAACTTTCTCGCCTTTACTTTGTAAAAAAGAAAGTATTGTAAAACTGCACCGGAAAGCGGCGATTTTTTGATAGAGAAACTCTTAATGCCGGAGACTAGTAACGAAAAAGAGGGCAAATCTTGTTCATATATAGTTAATTACTCCTAATACGTTTTGTAGTCAGAATCCATATTTTGTGTCCTTCACACTGTATAATCGATTGACGGCAAAAAGGCTGTCTCTCCGTCCGTCAGTGGTCAACACTAGCGCCTAAACCGTTGTCGATTTTCTCCAAAATTGATATTCACAATTGATTTAAATGAACTCGAACATCTCTGAGTTTGAAGAGGAAATTTTGATTTTGGGATTACTTTATATGACGCTTCAACAAATTCTCAAAAATTTTCTGAAAAAATTGCACCATTTAAAAGAAAATAAACTTTGTCTTCGGACAGCGTAAAGGACGCTTAAGAGAATGGTCCTGAGAACCTCATCGATGCTGAATAACTGTTTAGAAATTTTAATTCATTTCGATACCTGTTGTCCTATATATTTTCCTACTACTGACGAAGACTCCCAACCTCCAAGTTCTTTCCACGAGAGCAGATCGCCACCGTTTACGACTAGCATCGTGACCGGTGATCGTTGAAAACAATGCCCTGTTTAGAGCTCAAGAGAGTCTAAATTTAAAACTTCCGCTTTATTTTTTGGAGTGTCTCCTCTTGTGTGCATACCCACAACGTGTATAATCTACGAAAAGGCGTTTCATTTCTAGGTTAGATAGACGTAGGTTAGCAAATTTTTATACAAATCATATGCATTGAATGAAAAACCGACTATGGGCATTACAAACATTCTTTGTGTGTGTGTGTGTAATTCAATGTAACTTCGTTGTTTGTATATTAATAATAGTCAATGACACAATTTCATCTCACAAACATGCCCTAAAAATGCAAAAAATTACGATGACTTTTCTAAGTAGCTATTTACTCTCAGTAAAAACTTTCTAATATGTTCTTATGATAAAATTTTGGTCTTCTTGTGTCGCGTCTAAAGCAACAATCGTATCAATTTGAAATGACAGATGGCGTTGCACTCCTAAGTATTAAAAGCAAAGGTGTTTCTTATTTATATTATTTTTTTTTCTTATAAGAAGATGGTATTACGAAAAGTATTGAACGTCTCTTAGTCGATATCACAAATAACAGACATGGTTGGTTATAAACCTTGGCTATCGCCTCGGTTTACGATCAGTTAACAACGTCGTCTTTTATTTCGTGTTTATCGGCCTAATGACGTTAGTAACTATAACATGACTTGCAAGTTATTATATTTCCAGAGACATGTTCAAACCAATAAACAGAATAGCAAACATTCTTGATAAAGGAAGGTAATTATTTAAGAAGGTGTATTTAGCAAAGTGAAATTAAATTAAAATCAAGCCTGTATATTTTAGAGATTCGAATTACTTGTTGGAGACACGACAGAAAGTGATAGTGACTCTACTGGGTCCAGTAACATTGTAACTGAAGTGACGAATGTGGCGAGCATGACATTTCCATCTCTAATCTGCATACAAATCCAAACTGAGGAATAGACGATAACCACAACTGGAAATCATCTGCTCTCGTTCATCTCCGAGAAGTCAATTGTGACTCGTGAAATATTAAAAGCTACTAAAATCAGGAAAGTGAAGGAAAATGAAAGCGCATAATTGAAATCGAATGCAACATTTTCAATTAGTACTGGAATTTCCGCGTATCACAAGTAACGAATTATCCAAAGTTACACACCCTGTGCCAATGCCAAAGTTTTATCATTCGCAAGAATACGGTAGACAATCTACAATTCATTGCACTGTATTCAACACATGCAAGACATCAACGTTGCGTTCAGAAGTTAATCAGTATATAACTTTGTGCCGCAATGGGTGGCATCTTTTAACTAGAATGGCTGACAATCGCAGCAGGAAGTCCATAAGTGATCATAACAGAAGCAATTCCTAAAGCACAAGTAGCCCGAGGTCTTCACCTACGTAGTCTGTCGGCACATCGCATGTAGGGACGAGTTTTTATGGCCGTTGGGGGCGTTTTCGAGAACAAATGCATGTTAAACCCATCGAACAGATTTGAATGTAGCTTGTCGAATCGTACATTAAGTACGATTGAACAAACTTGAATAAACAGTAAATATGAGCTGAAATATGTATTCAGGACGTAGTTGCAGTACATTTTTCTTGTTTGATTTTCTAAACAAACAACTATTATAATGTCACCGCCATTTGCGTCGCACGCAGTTATCATTGCACTTTTTAAAGATTATGTTGTCCAAAGAGTATTATAACTAAATAACCATCGGAGAACTCCGTCCTGGTCCTAAGCACCTCTGCACTGCAATACAACCAATTACGTTATAAAAGGTTCCGCCTGTTAGGCAGTCAGACTTAAACATTATGTAGTTATTTTGTCAGAATTTTACCAATTTAGTTTTATATCAACGTCCATTATTTTTGTAGAACATAAATGAACAGTCGTCAACACACGAAGCTTCACAAATTATTGAAAATGGATTTGACCAAATATTTCATTGTGTGCAACTATTTGATCCCACCGTGTTCCAAGCCCGGAGCCTTGCATTATCATGACAGATGTTCTAACCGACCGAGCTATTAAATCGAACATTGCATCCGTGTCCATATAACGATCTTTCAGCGATCAGCATTCGTATTCACGGTACAATTGGCATGAAAAATGAATAAAAGCGCCAATTCATTACGTTCATCTTCATCTTCCAAGCCAATCGTTTCGTATACAAAAATTACTGTGTCAGAAAAGTCAACGGCACAGAATTTCAGAAAAAGTGTGAGTGGAAAATATTTCGAAAACACTAGAATATAAACCATAGTTTTACAATAGTATTTTCAATTAAAACAATATCAACGCCATTAACGATATAAGCTTCATAGATACCATTTGTAAAGTCAAAATACTCTTATATTATATTGGGAAAAGAAAACATTAGCAGTGTGTGCTTACTGACTTACGCAATTCGTAAAGTGCTGAAGAAATTCAATTACACACATTACTTTAAATTACTGAAATTCGAGATACTTTAGTGCATTCAAAATCTACCAAAATAAGGGGCTCTTGGCATCCAATACAGATTACTCAGACTCTAAGCCTCAAATAGCTACAAATATTAGTACCATATTTAATATTATCGTTTAATGTTTGAGATACAAACCAATATATGTACTATTCTCCTTCTACTATTTCAGAGAGTCAGCCTATTTGTTACGGGTCAATTTTCATAGAATACCCTTACGTTTTTTTTTACATTTGCATTACACTCTTTCGTGCATTAATAAGCACCGTATCTTCATTCAAAAACAAACATATGATCATGAAATAAAAGCTTGAAGTTGTAGCTGTCACATTGACAACGCGTTTCACAAATACTTAAGCAAGTTGTTTTTTCCTTCTACGGCTACTTTCCCAGTATCTTTATTATTGATCGATACTATCTTGTGTAAGAGGAGAAACTTCCAATTATTGGACTTTGGTCTTTTCAATTATACTTAATTGGGTAGATTTTCTAATGAATAGTCGATGAATTTATATTATATTATTATATATGAACAAATCTGCATTTCAACGTTTTTATGAAAAATGAACAAAATGAAATTAAATTGGAGTCTAACCAATGTGACTCCCAATACCGATTCTATCCAAAATGTCCAAAGACAGAAAAGCTGGAAATCCAAAGTAAATCACAAAACGGGAAATATAAAGTAAAAGTAGTTAATACTACGGAATGAAATGAAATTATTATGAATGACACGTCCCCTTGCGATGTGCTAGTTTTTAGTAACGACTTTCGATTTCCAGCTTAATTAATTAATTTACATAATTAAAAATGTTGCAAGTCATTGTACATTCTGATTACAAAAAAAATATTTAGCATGAAATATTACACTGGGCATTTTAATAATTCTATCAATTTTATTTCATAATGTGTTGTAAAATAACGTTCACTTGCGTGTTAAATATGCATTTGGTTGTAATCTCTTGATGCTCATTCTGAAGCACATTGTTGGCATTTTAGAATTGAGCTTTCAGCATTCCATGGTATTGTAATATCAGGGGTTATCTACAGCAGCACCTTGCGATGCTGGGAAAAGGTTTGCAAATTCAAATTTGAAGAGAATAGTATTTTATCCTGTTCTATATCTGACTATTTTTTAATCTGTTACTTTGGGTACAGTATTTAATACATGTAAAATGTTTTCGAATTCTTTTTTACTATTATAAGTTATACATTATAAATCACGACACAATTTAAAAATATAATTTATGAAAATTTAATTTTATTGGATTTTGTATGTTTATTTTTTATTCAGTTTATTTTCACGTGGTTTCTCAGTTATAAAACGTTGTTACACCTCCTGGTATAATTTTGATGTGATGAACGTATAGCAAAGTCCACCCTTGTCAATCGTTCTTTAAGAGTTCTTGTTTGCAACCATGTTTTAGTAAGTTGTAGCGAAGAAAACTTCTTTCAATCGTTTGAATTTATTACTTGGAATGTTACGAATATTTCAACATTAATTGGCAATAAATTGATTTTCTTGCAATAAATTGCAAGGTTCATTTCTTTGTCGTTATTTAATTCCATCGAAAGCAAAATTTCGACGATTTTTCATTTATTTGAAAAAGAAGATTGTCGATTAAATTTTTATCTCGCCAAACATCCTTTTAGTTTTATGAGTTGCTTGTTTCTCTCTGTTTTTGTTACCTTCTGAAATATATCTAAATCTTTCGACGAAACAATTTCAAAGTTAGTCTTTGATTTTTACTCAAATTGATGACGTGTTCATGAAGTAGTAGAGTAAAAACTAGTATTTCTGAAACAAACTGTCGTCAAGTTTCTCTGGCAT